TAAATGACTGTGTCTCAGTGCATATTTCTGCATCTCTTCTACATTATTAATCAGTATTTGAATATATTCAGGCACCTACATCTTCTATGTATGAAAGGTGTGGGAAACTGAAAACAAATAAAAAAAAAAAAAAAAAAAAAAAAGGTGGTTTGCATAGATTTTACTGACTTCTGAAGAGCCTAATATGACATCTATGGTACTATAAATGACTGTGTCTCAGTGCATATTTCTGCATCTCTTCTACATTATTAATCAGTATTTGAATATATTCAGGCACCTACATCTTCTATGTATGAATATTGTATAAGTAAAAAGTAATGGAGATGGTATATAATGCTACAAATAACAGATTTTAACTAAAACATTGGCAGTAAGTTACAGCTGTTTACACAGTGCTTCAAAATCTTCAATGAATAGATTACTTCATTAAGAAAAAAGTGCTTAGAATGAAAGGATCCAACAGCTACTAATTTTCTGGCAAATTCTGCTTTGTTTAGTCTTAAGACATTTAAGCTATGCTGGATTCAAGAACTGTCATTTTGAATGAATTAGATTCAAGGTGAAAATACAAATTTTCAGGTCTGATAGTATTATTACTAGACTTTTATGTACAAAATATATAATATGAGATAATATACTTTCCAGAGGTTTTGCTACTGGTATTTGTAGCATTAATTATATTTTATGAATATATGATGTAAAAGATACACAGGTTCTTTCTTAACTTCTTTTAAACTGATTTTGTTCTCGAGTGTAAATGAGAAGAGCAAGATAAGGGGAAGGTCTGTAGTGTAGTCTTCTGGTTTTGATGTTATCCACTTGCCAATTGTTGTTGCATTTCAGTTACATTGAGTTATGCTGTATGTGTATGCATTGCTTTGTTCAAAAATGAGGTTTTTTTCCTTAGGTAGCCTTTCTTTCTCACTTTCAGACATTTTCTGTGTCACTTCGTTACACATATAGACACATATACTGTAGTTTTTACAGAACTTCAGCATGGGGGAGTACATTGAAAAATTGGATCACTCAACAGTCATGATCAGACAGCTAAAGGAAGTTGTTATGTTGTTATCTCTGTGTGTGTGTTCATATAGATGTGCGTGTTTAATATAATTTTAATATGAACACAAGTGTTGTGYACGAGGGCAGTTAAAGAATTCAAGAAAGTTTCTCTATAGGTTCAATAACAGCTGTATTGACTTGCTTTTCCCCAACAGGTCCATGTATATATTTGGGGGGTTTTCAAGTGTTCTTTTGAATGACATCCTTGTGTACAAGCCTCCGAACTGTGAAGCATTTAGAGATGAAGAGCTATGTAAAAATGCTCGTCCAGGGATAAGGTGTCTGTGGAACAAGAAACACTGCGAGTCCTGGGAATCTGGCCACGCTAATAACATCCTTAGAGCAAAGTGTCCTAAAAAGGCAGGTGCGTATATTATCATGTACAAATGTTTTTACATTAAACTTTAAGATTAGAGTTTTAAATGTTACAATGCAATATAGGAATAAGAAGACAAAAACAAGTGGAATCAATGAATGGGTATTAAGATGGTTCTTTTCTGGGAATATCTGGTGCAAGTGGCTAATGGTTTGATTTTTAAAATAATCTCTTGATTTTTTTCAATTTTAAATACAGAGAAGTAGATGCAAAAAGCATGAGTTTAAGATGCTAGGGCACAGAAAACAGAGAGTATCTAAGGAGAAGAAATCACTTCTTTGTGGGGCCAAAACTTAAAGTGACTTTACTTGGAATTTGCCTCTGTTTGAAGGACAGAGGGATGAGCTTTGAAATACTGTAAATGATTAAACTTTCTATTTCTCAATCTTTTCCTGTTTGATGTTAATGAATAAATAAAAATCTTCACATTGTTCTGAAAGAAATCTTAATATCAGTCAGAACATGGATGGACTTTGTAAATGGTTTCTGGCACAGCAGGTGTGTAGCACTGTCATATCCACATGCAGGGAAGTATCACTGCTTCAGGCACGTCACTTATACTCTTTGATACGTATGGACAAATACAGTCCATTCACAGCTGGAAACCTTGAAGCAAACAAGCACTTGGCTGCAGCATGTCAAAATCAGTTAAAATTTCTCCTGTGAAATTGCTTAGCATTGTGATAGCTGTGTATTGATTGAAACAGCAATTTGTCATCATGAATAATAGTTGCAACCTATTTCAAATATTTTGACTTGTCACAAATAGATTGCTTGTAAAAGTGCTGTTCTTACGCACAYGCATGAGCACAGTATGCAGCACTGCTACATATATCTGCTACATATTTGTGATCTTTCCATGCAGCCAAGTATATAATTGCTAACCAAACTTTGACCGTATGTTAACATATAAACTACTATATTAAGCTGCAAGTCTATATTTAATGTTTGTTTTAAAAATATTAGCTCTACTATTAAGAAATGCTTCCACGTAATTGACTTTTCCATTATATTTTTCATGATTTGTTTCTGAACTGGATATAAAGTTGAAAAGTTGAAACAGTAGATTTTATAACAATGTTATCTGAGTAAAACTGTTTTCTTCAAAACTGTTCTTGCACAATTTTACAACGCTTAGAGATCTGGAATCTAGAGCTTTTCAGTTCTTCATAAGAGGAGCTGAAGCATAGTACCGTTTTTTTCTTTTTTTTTTTTTTTAAGGGAAAATACAAAGCAAACTACAGACACACTGAATCAAGATAGAACAGAGTAGATTCTAAAATATGTCTGTGGCAGTGGGATCACAGTAGAAAAGGCAAGATCTATAAAAATCGAACTATGATAGTGTGTTGTTTGCCAGAACTTTAACTAACTGGACTGAGCCACTTCWCTTTGCTGGATCTCTCCAAATTTGGTAGTAACATTCTGTCTAAAGCCAAGTGTTTGGGGTATTCTTTTACACTACCTGACTCAGTGGTTGTGCTGGTTGAGAGAATCATGCAAGAATCTACTGAGAGTTGGAATTAAAACACAAACACAAGTTCTAGTGGGTTTGAAGACGGCGATTCTTGGATGGGAAGTGATCCCTGGCAACTAAATCTCTTTAAAATTATCTCAGGACCAAGGAAGCCAGACGACCCAACAGTTGAAAAGAGGAGTCAATGTAGGAAATGTTAGGAATTCTCATATATAGGATTGTAGTGATTTTTCATTTTCTTTTAATCTCCATTTAATAGAAGTAAACATCTTTCCTGAAATATTTTAAGTAATATGAATAGTCCAAGTCCTGAGATTTGTATTAGGTATCTAAAGTAACCCTTTTCAACAAAGATTTTTCATATAGAATGGGAAAAACACAACTTTAAAAATATATAGATTAATTTAGAGCTAAAATATTTATATGTGTTGCTAACAAACTTCTTTTTAACTTCTCTTTAAATTAAYAGTGCCATCTTGCATGATAATCTATTTTTTTTCCAGAAATTTGCATCTGAAGATTTTTTCCTTTCCTTTTTTTTAAGGGATGAGCAAAGGATAGTTTGAGGCTAGTATTCTTAACCTGTTAACCTGTGCACCATCTTAAATATGTCTGTATATTGCAAACCAGAGAGTATTTCTTTAGTTGAATAATGTTAAGTGAATGCAATTGATTTTCTACAATACCAGGCTTTTTGATGTCCACAGTTTCTACTAAGTTGAGAGAGAAAATATTCTGAGAAGGCATCCAAACCCACGAAAATGTGGTTTTCTCCTTCAGTGTGATGTTTCTTTTTGACTTCCATTCATATTGCAGCTGCTGCAGATGACAGATGTTACAGGTATGCAGACTGTGCGAGCTGCACTGCTAATACAAATGGATGCCAGTGGTGTGATGACAAGAAGTGCATTTCAGCAAACAGTAACTGCAGCATGGTGAGTCTCCGTAGATCTGTGGATGTAGTATTAATCTTGTGAGTATTTTTGTTGGTAAAACAGATGCCTTTGGCACCAAATGAAAAGGAGGTGCACTTCCAGCACACTTCAATAGTGATTTGTTTTGAACCTAAGCATAAAGGTAGTAATATAATGTAAGCTTTTTTGTTTAAAAGGTCAGAGATCCTGATATAGCTGTTATTCATAAATCTGTGGGTTTCAGGGATTATTACTACAGCACTCCAATTATCATCCCTAGGCAGGTTTACCATAAATTTGCCATGTTGTGGTGCCTGACTGAGTGTAAGAGTTGGCCCACAACAATTAAGACTAATAGCATTTGAAACCTCAGAGTATTTTGTCTTCTAAAGAGCAAAACTATAGTTTCCACTATTATTTGGTAAAGGTAAATGTATTTATAATGAATATTAAAATCTAAGGAACTTAGAACTGTCTCCTGAGAAGTTTTTTTTACAATCTTGTATTTTATGAACATCTTTATTGACTCTACAATTAAAAATACTTTAAAAATACTTTAAAAGGAGGAAAAGCAAAAGTCATTCTCTTTATTGGCCTGACTCTCACCACACAGATAAATACTCTTGATAGGAAAGAGGTAAACTAGGTTTCCAGTCAAAGTATTTTTCAATATTTCTTTGGCAAAAACAAATAGAAAAGGATGTAGCTTACATAATTTTGTAAGTTTTGAGCTCACAGTTTTGATGGATTATACAGTTCTATAGATATGAAAGAGGGGCTAGAGTACAAACCACATAGTATTTTAGAAAAAATCTAGAAAGAGGAGAGTAAAGTATTTAATACTAATTCCTGAAATGCTAAGAAAGACAAGTACTTTCATCCTACAATCGATATATAAAAAAAATCACTGTGGTTCTAAGTCTGTCTGTATCCCGTATCAGGATCAGAACTGGAAAATGAAAGTGATAGATGTAAGTCAGAAATCTTCTATGTAACATAATCTACTCACACTTTTATGTGTAAATATTATAAGTATCCTACAGCAATAGAAGACTTGAGGAACAGATGGTCTATCATGTTTCAGCTTTGCTAGTTATAACCTTAGTGTTGTGTTAATATGAGTTACCTATTGGATTCACATTTACATTGGACTAATGAGATTTTCAGGGAAGCAATGTTCATGTTGGATTTAAGGGAAATAAGTGCAGGGAATAAGGGAATACAACAGAAAACTATTATAGAATAGTCACTAGTACTAGTGAATTTTATTTTAAATATTAAATAACATGGGATTTGTGATCAGTAAGTAATAGAACAAATATTTTAGTTTAGTTTGAAAATTGCAATCTGTATGTAATGTTGCTGTGAAATAAATCACTTTTCAAAACAATCAGGATGCTTAAGGATTTTGACATTGTGATAATGATGTGTTAACAGGGTATATTGTTTGAGGTATTGAAAATGAGCAGATGGTGCTTACTTGTAATCTAAAATTCATTGTACAGCATCTCTCAGGCAGTTTTGTGAATAACCATTGTGACTGAGTGTAAGTAAATGGGGAGTTGTGCCAGAGGTTTTGTATGCGTTACTGTTTGCATATATTTATTGTAAAGGAACAGGATGTCTATGTGGACAATATTTCCTTTGGCGCTGTTTCATACACTTGTGTAGACACTTTCTCCTAGAACAGCCTCTGTTTCTCTTTGCAGTAAGTAAAGAGTACTTTACTTTCTTATAGACCAGAAAAAGAGTGGATGCCTTTTATAATATGATCACTGATGAGCATCTGGTCGAATAAAGGCAGCAAACAGGCCCCTGAACAGCAGTGTTCTCCAGCAGTAATGAAGCTGGTCCTGTCTGAGATTGAAAATTCATTTTAACAATTGCATTTCAGGACTTCCCAAAAAGAAAAGGAAAAAAAAAAAAAAAAAAAACCCACTATATAAAAAGAGTTTGGCTCTTTTCCCTATCATTTGCAGTAAGTTGATGCACTATCATCATAATTCCAATATTAGCAACTGTGTTAGCTTATTATCATATTGCCCCTTTAAATGTGATTTGTAGTGTTCCGGAAGATGATATATACTAGGAGGAAAGGAACTAAAATTGTTGAGTAAATCGTACATATGCTACCTAAGTTCTCTCCTTTTGTGCTACTCAGCGCTGTTATTAAGGAGAGAAAATATTTGTATAGAGATCTTTGGCAGGTAGATGATTTTAATTTATGGGATGGCACTGTTAGTTACGTAAATGAAATCTGAAGAAATACTAGTTACTAAAATAAATTGACAAAATGTATTTTCTGTCATAAAARAAATATGAAATTGAAATTGGCTATGTCATGGCTTGCCAAAATGGTACCTGCAGATCTTCTGCCTTTAAACCAAGTACCTTACATACAAGTTTGTGGATAAAACTTCAAAGTGACTGGAATTTTTGAAATAGGATTTGTTGTGTTTTATAATCRCTTATCTGTATCTTCAATTTTTGCTTGTTTAACTTAACTCAGCTCAAACAATAGAGCACATTATCTTGCACTTTCTGTCAATAAAGTGTAAGTGTAGTTATTTTAAGCTTGCTACTTGCTCTGCTTTCTATAATCTTTTTGATTGTTTTGCAAAGTTTTCTTTGCTTCAAACAACTGGGGAATGAAATAATTTGATGAGAGCCTATCTTTGAACCATATAGGAAGTAGAGGTTTACTTTAGTTGTTAAGCTCGTCCTATGCTCAATAGCAAGAAGTGACATCTTTGGAGTGATGTTTGTTCCAACAGTTATTCAAAGTGTGAGACCAATGGGATGAGCAGTCCCCTACAGATGCCTTTTGTGGTCTCCACCAACTGAAAAGGACACCTAGACAAGGACCTTAAGTTAGACCCAATTTCTAGATGGCTCTGATTTTCTGGGGAAAATGCTTATTTCAGYTTTGGCTGCTGGGCTGCTGGCAGTGTGACATGTAATATGCCCCTCTGTCTGCTTTGTTTCCATAGTCGGTGAAAAACTACACCAAATGCCATGTGAGAAATGAGCAGATCTGCAATAAACTGACCAGCTGTAAGAGCTGCTCCCTGCACCTGAACTGCCAGTGGGACCAGCGGCAGCAGGAGTGCCAGGCGCTACCCGGTAAGGCCTCGGCATGGGCACTCTGCTTCTCCTCCCTCTGAGCGACCAGAGCCGTTGGACTCCTTGATGGCTGCGYGTTCCCTGGCTGTGTCGCTTGTGCTCGTTGGGCTTCTGGGGTTCTCCACTGAAATAGCTGCACTTGGGGCTTGCTGTGCAGATAGGACCCGAGGTCTGATTTCTAAATTGCCTAATGTTATTAATACAATGAAAGCAATGAATATTAAAATACGAATTAAAATATTTTTTAGAAGGTGAATGCTAATATTTTGCCATAATGTATTTCTGTATTTCATATTGGTAAATGCAATTCATATTGGTAACTACATATATGCAGTTAGATACCTGAAGTGCCCCTCTCTKTTCTTCTTGTTCAAATGTTATTGAACAGAAATTGCTTTTATGACACAACTACCTGTCTAGTCTACAAATAGTTTCTGTGATTTTTTTTGTAGAAATTATTCATTAAATAGCTTACATAAACTTTATATAGTTTTAAATGGCCTTTGTACAATCTCTGAGAAAAATAATGCCTGTACATTAKTTAGTCTCTTGATAGTTAATAGTTATCTGCATCCGACTGATTCTGAAATATTTTGAAGAGAAAACGTTTCCTAAAATATTTAATTATCAGGATTTCCTATCAAGGTAATGTTTATTATAGATAGACTAACATATGAAAAAGCAAAGATAAGATATATTTGTCATCTTTTAATTCTAGCAAATTTATTTTCAAATTTGAAATTTATAAAATGTTTAGTTAAAATGATTTCTTTATTTCTTTACGTAAAACATCTGCTATAATTAAATCACTCAAAGTTACATTACTTGGCATTTTAAAATATTTAGGAGATATGAAAAAGAAAATTGAATATTGGGATATATTTTGAATTATTATCTGATAGAAATGAAATCCTGACTATCTTTTAAGTTTTTGAATCCTTTAAATCAATTTTAATTATATTCTTTTTTAATACTAGCTCATCTGTGCGGGGAAGGATGGAGTCATATCGGAGATGCCTGCCTGCGCATAAATTCTAGTCGTGAAAGYTATGACAATGCCAAACTCTACTGCTACAATTTAAGTGGGAATCTTGCCTCATTAACAACCTCAAAAGAAGTGGAATTTGTTCTGGATGAAATACAGAAGTATACACTTCAGGTAACTTTAATAACTGCAGTTCCTGCTCATGTGAATGAAACTTGTGTTTGAGCAAACTAGCAAACTTGCAAATGAGCAAGTTTTAAGGGTTTGTCCAAATATAAAGAGGAAAATTAAATGTGTTCATGAAGACTTAAAAATACATTGATGAATACGTTCATGAAGACGAAAAAATACATTCATGAGAAAAACATTCATGAAGACTTTAAAATGAGAATAGTGTTCTGCCAAATGTCTGTGGTATTGGTGCTGTGTAGGGTATATCAGAAACCTCCTATAGAAGCCTAATAAAACAGTATTTCTCAAATGCTTCTYCCTCCTGACTTAACTGTTACAGGTTTGTGTTTGCGTTTTGCTTTCAAGAAATAAAAGGATGTCTGGAAGACTGATTGTGGAAATGCCAGTTCTTTTCCCACATACTGTTGCAGCAGAAATGAAAACAAAATAAAATTATTTTCACTGTAATAAAAAACGATTTCCTTGCTTTCCACATCAGTGAATGTTAAACTGCTCAAAGGATTGTTTTTGGCTGCTGAACTCATCTAATCTGAAGAAAATAGAGTTGATTACTGATCTAATCTGATCTGTTTTATATTGTTCCTTTTAAATTGGAACTGCCTGTACTCGTTCTACAGATGTAGTAGTAAAAAACCAAAATGCATTGAGTTTTTGTGAGGAATCCTTGTTGGAGTTGTAGCTGTGTAATGGAAATGCTTTTTTTTTTTTCTCGTTGGTAGTATCTAGAAATGAGATGTGGACCTTGCTATCAGTGATATGATTGTAGATTAAAACTAACAAATGTCCCCCTCACCCTCCTAAAAAAGCCCAAAACAAGCAACAAAAGCCAAAACAAAACCAAAGAGAGAACTAAATGGGCTAAACTCAGCTTCCTGCAAAAGCGTAAAGCCCATTGTCATTAACATAGCAGATCAAGAATCTCCAGAACTGAGCAGTGTTTTTATCACTAGTGTAATAGATGCTCTCCACTATCACCTATGGGGCAAATTATTAAAAATATTATGTGTAYCTCAGAGTTTTGTACAGTATCTTAAAGAAAATCTTTCCTAGTTTTAAAGCTGGTGGTGGTAATGGTAGTTCCTGGCTGAGAGCTGTGTGTCCACACTGCACTTGTAAGGTCTGTCTGCTGCCTTTGGTGTGATCATCAACAACAGATGTTACTTGTGGCTGCGGTGTCTCGTGAGTAGATAGGAGTGGATCTTGAGAGATTGGGAACTGTTTTGAGGAAACTTAAAGTCTTTTGGAGTCTCGGGCAGTTTTCCCAGTTGATTTTTTCCCATTTCTACTACAGACTTTTCTATTTATTTAATGTTATTTGTGTTTCATCAGAATGCCTACCTGCTGGTGTGCATATGTGTACGCATACATATTTGTGTGTGTCTATGGGTGTATCTATGTTTAAAATAGACACAGTTCATTTCTCCTGTGGATGGATATCTCTTAACTAGAGGTCATATTTTTTTAAAAAAACCTACTTTCAGTCAGATGGATGATGAACACAAAAAACCTTGACTTGAATTATATCAACTCCTGTAATTGATATTTTTTGTTCCTTATATAGAAATCGGTAGTGGATTGTAGGGTTCTCCCTCAGCCTCCTATTTCTGCTACACAATGCTTAAATCAATGTGAGACAGATTTAATCTCTGTACCTCTAAAGTCTCCATTACTGTGTCATCCCTGTCTGGGTCTCAGCCACCTTGGAATTAAATGATTGCAACATGCTCTGCTGAGGGGATGTATTTGCGAGTTGGTTTTAGGTAGGTAGCTTCAGTTTAAGAGCTAAGTGGTTAGAGTTTGCTTCCTGAGGTGTTTAGGTTGCTGCAAACGTTACTCACATCAGACTGTATCCCAGAGAGGGAGGCCTGTTCCAAAGGCATCAAACCCTGCAGTGTCCACGCAGGCAGCGTGTCTTAGTAGAATAAGAAACCATTATAGGCAGCTATTGGGGTGGCAGCCTCACTTTATTTACTTATTTTTTTCCTCCTGACCTCTGTTTAAAATATTTCACAGGAGGCCCTGAACTAATAGGTTCTGATAGATGAGACTGAGATGTAGATGAGAAATAGGTTTTTACTATTTGTGAGCTAGACTTGTGCTGTGTTTCAAGGCTTAGAACTTCTAGAAGGTGACATCCTGATTAGCATGTTTTTATTTAAATGAAGTATGGCCTGAGACAGTGTAAGGATATAAATTTGAGGTATTCCACATACAGTTTATACAATGGTAGACAAATGTATCTTTAAAGATATATCTTGGATTAAATGATCATGGAGTTATCAGAATCTCTTTTCTTTTGTCTAACTTTTCCTCTCAAACTGCAGTCGTAATGATTTAGGAGGTGAGATTTCATTTTAGATAGCATGTTTTTGTTACAGATAGTGTTGTGGAGTTCACAAACGTAGTCAGAGAAGCTGTAAGGTGAAAACTGTGCCCTAATCTGAAATATCTATGCTGGAGTTCCATTTCTGTTATTAATATCAAAGGCTTTACATTTTTTTATGAGGAAGAAAAGGTTTTAGGATTAGTGGATGTGTCAAAGTCATATTTGGAAAAAAAGAATATGGATCTATTTTTGTCTACACTTTATTTGATATTCTTCTACTGAGAAAAGGAAAAAAAAAAAAAACTACCTTTGACAACTGCTGTATAGATTACAGACCATTAAAATGGTATGAATACATACCATAACCTGGAAGGAAAGTCTTTAGTGTTCATACACATAATGAAGATCATTTCAAAATATACAAAGCCCTTGTTCTAGGGCAAATTTAGGCCCATTTATTCAGCAGGTTTCAAATAATAGGAAGCACTAGTGCTTTGGAATGATCCAGGAGGCAGAGATGGCTGCGGGCTCTGCAGCCCCATCAGAGCTTACTGTGCATCAATATTTTCTCATAATTCTAGTATTAAATTGAGAATCAATAGAATATCTCCTTTTAAAAAGTACAGGGATTGTTCATTTGATACTAAAGAAAGGGACTAAATTAATACATTTCTGATGTGCAGTCAAGTTACTGATAAATTTGTGTAAATGTTCTAAAATTATCAATAATAGTTTAATGTCTAATTTGTACTTTTCATTGAAAATAAATTTATTAGTGAATGAGAAAATAAATACAGTGGATAGACTGCCTATTCTTATACTGAGGCAAAAAGCTTGACATTTTTTCTTTGACTGAGCAAGCAAAATATTATGAAAGGGAAGATTTGAGTTTTTCTGCAGTGTAGGGTAAAACAGCAGCACTATAAGGTTAATTAATAGTTTCTGCAATATAAGGTTAATTGATAGTTCCTACTAATATTAAAATGTGGTATACTCATTTATAAATGCAATTACTTCTCTTGGGAGCATCCTCACAACTGTGGGATTTAACGTCAAGTAAAAATTTTCTTGCCACAGTGCAGTACATTCTGAGAAGATTTAATTTTGTTGTAGTAAGCATAAACAAAGATGAGAAAAAATTGAACAATGTGTTTCATTATATAAACTGCTTGCAGCTTCTCCTTCAACTTACTCTTTTCCAGGTTTAGCATGTTTTAGTGGTGGTTGTAGCTAATTAGCTAATTTTGCATGGCACCATTCTCCATTGTCAGCTCCAAGTCTTCCCAGMGGACTGTATGTTTTAATTGCAAAGAATTTGTTTGGACGTTTTTATCTAAAGTTCTCATGTTTAGTTGTTCTGAAGCTGACTTTTTTTTTTCTTGAATTAGTCTCTTTGCTACAGTTTTTAAGTCTTCCTTTAGCTGCCACAGAGCAGAAAACGGGTTTCCAGAAGACTGACCTCTATAAAGAGGAAGTTTCAAGGATATTCTAACTGAAACTCCACAGGAATAATTGTTATTATCCTTTTCTATAGATTGAAATTGAAWACCCCATAGTTCAGTTTTACATAACTTTTCATATCCATCTCCGAAACAGGGAAATATGAAAGCAGTAGGAGAAYTAAGTGTTGTTAGGATGTAATGCTTCACACCTCCATTAGTAGTTACATTTGGTGTGTCTTATAGATGCTGTTGCATTTACAAGAATGAAACTTGCCTTCCCTTGTTTATAATGTATCATTCATTACACTGTGTAAATATATCACAAAAATGAAATATGTAGTTATCGAGCATGGAACCAACCAATCTGTGAGTCAGTATGTGAAAAGGGTGGTTTCTCTTCATGTAGCTAGTGCTATTCTCAGTAAGCAGTTTTTCACTGATAGTTTGCTTCTCTTCTGCATCACTATCTGAAAGCCTCTCGTAAAAGTATGGTATAGAGGTGTAAAGACACAGGGGCGAGAGATTTTCAAGATTCAGTCACATGTTTTTACCTTAGACAGCTATTTTCCTAGAAAACATGGTGTTTAAATGGGTCTTTAAAAGTTCATTGATATTTGTTGATAAGATATTATTGTGACTAACACACCAGAAAATGAGGCAGAAGAGTATTTAAGCAAATGCAGGGATAAATTTCTGAAAAAAGATACATGATTCTTCAATAAATTGCATAGTTATCAAACAGAGGAGAATTATGAGCATCAGTAGTAACTGGCTATTCAGAAAGGGTAAACTTGCTCACTTCAATCATCTGCAAATTATTGGATCCTCATTAAATTTGTGCTGAGGCATCTGTGTAGTATCTGAAAAATGTGCCATAACAATAAATGATAATATTCACTGTAGATCTCAGAACAACTTAGCCCAATTAAACTTTCCATGAATAAATATTGGAATTAACACCAAGTATCAGCTTTGTAGTTAAGGTTACACAATCTTCCTCTCTAAGTGCAATTCCATTACTACTGGAACTGTACTACTTAGAAGGTAATTATTATTGCTTAAAAGAAAAATAAAATATGATGCCGTAGAATAAGATAAGAGCACTTTTTAGAAGTTATTGGTCATAAGTGTTTAATAAATGCCTATAGTAGCTAAATATAAGGCAAGTTTTTAGCCTAATAGGACTATAGATATAACTGCATATGGAATGGCACATGTTCTGCTCTCCAGCARCTTGTCTATGATTTTAGGTGGATCCTAAATCCATTAAGGTGGATTTTTCACTTAAGAAATTGGCAAAAACCCTTTTAGCAGTGGTAAAAATGATTACTGTACATAAAATGGTTAAATCTTGACCAGCTGGATTTTCAAGTGTATAGCTTCCAAAGCTAGCYCAATGTTTTAAATACTGGCCTAAAAAGAAAGAGGGGAGAGAAGAAACATATTCTGTTGAATGTTGTAGTCTGAGATTATAYAGTGGATGAAATAAAGCTATGGAATAATTCTTAAAAAAATGTTTGACTGCATTGATCCAACTTGGGCAAACAAGGTTAATGTCTAGTAAGATCCATTAAGAGCTTCCTTGAGTCAGGCGAGAGCACGTGCTGCATGTTGTGTTGTGTTAGGATAATGGATAATTTTTGCATATTTTCTTATCTTCTATTTAACTGAAAATACTTGGTAGAATATTATTGGGGAAAGACGGGTTGTTGTTGATATGATTTTGCTTTGAATTGTATACATATTCAGAATTTTCATGTTTATATGTTGGAGCTTTATTTTCTAGAAATTTCTGGTGAAAAAATTGAAAGTAGATACTATTTCTCAGAACATAATGACAGTATTCCAGAAAAAATCTCAAATACAAAAACAAGAAGTAAAAGCACCTACATCCTGCAATCACTTTTAAAGAAATTCTTGCTTATATGTATTGTATAAAAATAGAAAAGCAATTACAATTCATATTTGTTCCCATGGGCCACTGCTTCCTCCCTATCTTTTCCTTTTCCCACATGAAGGGAAATTAATTAAGGCAAAATTTTATAAACTACTTCATTTCACATAGAAATCTGTAATGTAATTGAAATCGTTTCTAAAGCCGATGAAGAATAATTATCTGTATTATATAGTCACAAAGCTATCATTTGTTTTGGAGACTTTTTGTGGATGTATCACAAGGTAGTTGAAGTATAGCATTTAGCTCTTTATGTTTCTACAACAATAGAGCAAATGTGCAACACTGATGTTGAAAATAATGGTAAATCATTTTTTAAAATGCTAATGGTATTTTAAAGATATAAATTTTAGAGACATAAATGGAAAATCATTCCCTAGATACAGTTGTGAATCTTGGTTAAAAGATTCAAAGTAAATGGTTAGTCTGTTGTATAAGGAAAATGAAAACTTTCTCATTACTTATTAATAGCACTCATTGCTAAGTATTAGACAAGCAAAGACATCAAGGATTGTGATGGCTACTGTATTAAAACTATTGAATGCCATTATTTTAATTGCTAAACTGATTGTTTGTAGTTTTAAATTAAAAGTAATGTATCCAATACATATTTACTAGCATTGGAATTGTGGACCTGCCTGAGTCTTACCTATGTGTCTCAGTTGCCAGTGTATGCTGATAAGTATTGCTTATAGATTCTAGAGGTTGGAATTCTTGTCCTGTTTATTCTGATCTTTGATTTCTGTGATGTGATGCTGCAAAAYGGTATATTTACATTACCCATATCAGCTTATAGTGAGTAATCTGTACAGCAGGCACTGGAAAAAGCATGATTTAATTATACACATTCTGTAAGATTTCTAGCTCTTTATCAATCAATATTAATCAGAATTGACTTCAGATGAACAAAACAGACAGCTTTTTAATAGAGTGGAAGCATGTTGTGGCTTTGTTGTTTACAACAAGATAGAAAAAAGAATAGGATAAAAGCTGTATGGACAATAACTGATGAGACAAAGGGAAATATTTGCTAATTCTTCCAAAAGGTGAAGCTGTTGCTTTTGGATTATTCTTTAATAATAATACTAAGAAGAAGAAGGAAGAATGGCATTTCATTAATTGTCTTTATGTTTATTTCTCTCTATTTCATAGAAAATTTCACCCTGGGTAGGTTTACGCAAGATCAACATCTCGTACTGGGGATGGGATGACATGTCTCCTTTTACGAATACGACTCTGCAGTGGCTTCCTGGAGAGCCGAACGACTCCGGTTTCTGTGCATACCTGGAAAGAGCCGAGGTGGCAGGTCTGAAAGCGAATCCATGCACTGCGATGGCAGATGGGCTCGTCTGCGAGAAACCTGTTGGTAAGTCATCTTTCTTAGCCACTTATGTGACTCTTATGATTAGCCAGCTGTTTTGACTTTCATTTGGCTAAGAGGGATTTGTACAATATGGATTAAATAATTAGGAAAAAAATAATGTCCTGCTTTAGTTCTTGAAAAATAGGAAACTTCAGTCTAAAAGACAAATAGCAATTTTAAACTAGCAAATATTTATCTGTGAATTAGCTTACATGGATTAGTCTGCATTATACTAGAAGTCTGCATTACACTAGAAGTCCTGTGGTTTGGAGTMAGTATTTGTCAGTGACTTTTAGCTGTGCCATTCTTGCACTAGGGATGGATGCTGAGAAATAGAGGCTAAATTTTGTCACATCAGAAAACATAAATATGGGTATAATCACTCGCTCCAAAGGGTCTGTCCAGTGCAGCTATCCTGCCTACGGTGTTATTTGCAGTTTGCCTCTCAGATTTGTGTTAATAAACATACCAAGATTGTGTCATTTCACTTTCTATGAGAAGATAATAGAAGACTAAATATTGCTTTTCGTGATTTTATTGAACTGCAACTTTTCAACATTATGAAAGTCTGTGCAAAACTAACTGTAATCACACAGGGATTCCCATAATCTCAGGACAGTTTGTTCACTGATAATTCAAATAAATGATGTTGAAATTACATAAGAGGACAGACTGTTCCATGGAATTACCAGAGTCTTGCTTGACATTATGCTTACCCTGAACTTCTGTTACCTCCTCCCTGAAATGCTCCTTGAATTAGGATKAATTTTTTCTTTCTGTTTTCAGACTAGAATTCTGAAGGTACAATTGCTTTATTTTAAACTAACGGGATAAGAAAGTTATGGTGACTGAGAGCTAAAGCTAAGAAAGCCTGGTGACATATGTCACAGTGCTTAAATATGACTCCTTGTAGAGTAAATCATCATTTGTTTCTRGTGGTCTTTGGCAGCTAATTTGATGACCTTAAATTGTCTTCCTTTCCCCTAAGTGAAGCTGATAATGGTACCATAAAATATATCTGTGAAATACTTAATAGTATGTAATTATTAAACACACAAAAATTGAAAAGTGCTTTCAGAAGTTAAAGTTCTTTGTGTGCTAAGATGCTAAGTAATAGTTTTATGTATATATATGTGTATATATATGTGTATATATATGGACATAAATATACACATAAATATACTTATATGGACATAACTATATGTATATTTTAGGTATATTTATGTATGTACATGCATATATATGTGTGTATCTTTATCTGTATCAGCACATGCCCTTATCTTAGGTTTTATGGCAACATTTTCCTGGAAATAGTGTTCAAAATCATGTCTAAAGGAGGATAAGGGTTGCAAAAATGAGACAAACATCTACTTAAAAAGTGATCTTCAAGCTTGATCTCTTTTTTTATTCTTGCTTTTATATACAAGCGGAAAAACTCAATTATGTAATTCAATTAGTAGGGGTACACTGTGATTTTATGCTAATCTGCAGGTAGAGATCGGTGCTAGCTTTAAAGAGGGAGTAATTACAAACYAGGTGCACTTTTTCCCCCTTTTTTAGTTTTTTCCTTCCCCTGAATGATGCTATATTTTCCCTAAAGAAGCTGAATGCTGATGGACTTACCAAGTATCAGACTGAAGAAAGAAGTGGGAGCAAACCCTGTGTTATCTCTCCAGTTTTCTTCTTTCCTTTCCTGAAAATTACCTAACCAACGTAAGCTACTGTGTAAGCCTGAGTGTAATATAAGCCTCTCTTTTCAAGAAAGGGGGAAAAAAGTTCAAGAAAACCACCCAAGTTCACAGCCCACTAGTTGCYTTTGATAGAGTCTTTTAAGGACTGAGGAGGAGCTGAATTCCTAGAGTCTTTAAGTTTCTGATGCATTTTGTCAGCACCTTAGCAAGGATGTTGCTAATAAAATGTGGTTAAAAAAATGAATTTGTGTTTAAAATTGCTTTTTGTTTCTTTGTTTCTTTTCYAGTTAGTCCCAATCAGAATGCTAGACCCTGCAAAAAGCCATGCTCCCTGCGAACAACGTGTTCTAACTGCACCAGTAATGGTATGGAGTGCATGTGGTGCAGCAGTACAAAGAGATGTGTTGACTCAAAYGCCTATATAATCTCCTTCCCATATGGACAGTGTCTGGAATGGCAAACAGCCACATGCTCCCGTGAGTATCTTAATGGATGTGTATTCTATTAAATATCACGTTATATTTTTTTTTTCCACTCAGAACATTTAAACAAATTGGATTCAACACATTCATTAAAAATAAAAATTGATGACTTTGTRTGACTGTTAATGTCAGCAGTCAATACTGTATATTATGTAGATGCAGATAAAGTACTGGCAATTACTTTATGATGGAACATATTTAGTGTTTTAAAGGGGCCAGTAAAAAGTGATTAGTTTTATCAAATATGGAAAAATACTGTGATTTTTTTTGCATGACTCGTATTAGCATGCCAATTGTTGTCTGTGAATTGAAAGAAATTGCTGAGTAAAATTAGAGTAATAATATATAGACCTTAGAGTAATCAGAAATCTAGTTATTAAAGAAAGAAGAGAGGAGCTGAATTCATAGATTATTAAGTTGCTGATCTATTTTGTCAAAAGATTCAAAGACTTTCTAGCTTGGAAAGATAAAAGTGTTATACTAGTAATAGCAATAGTCTTGAAAATGCAATTATAAAAGAAATGATCTAGCTGGTTTTTTTTTTTTTTTGCAAATGCCAGTTATTGATGCTTAGATGCTTAGAGATTGTTTGTCCACTGCACAGGACTGTTAGACTGTCAGGCAGATAAAAAGGGATGAAAAAACTTTTGTCTTATATGACACAGGTTGTATTAATTTACTGGATTACTTATTTCTTCCCTTTGAAATAAAAGATGGATGGAATCTTCTTGTGTCAAGCAGTAAAGATGCTTCCCAGATGTCTCTCTTGGAAGCATGTTTTATCAGAAATCAGTTCAGTGACCCTCTAGGAGACGAATGCTTAATGTGCTTTTTTGCTTTCCCAATTYATAAATGTTATTTTTCCTCAAGTCTATGGCAACTAGACCTTGTTGAATTTGGTGCCATGCAGTCGCCATGTGTATCAGTGTCATAGTCCATATAGATGCTGAAGCAAGCTGCCTTATATTCTTGTCTCAATCGCACCTTATTTAGAAAAAGAAGTGTGATGCAATTATACACAAGACTGTTTCTTAGTATTTTCACAAATTACTGTCCTTAAAGACTCAATGAAAGTGTTTCCCACCTATAAATGACTCCAATCCAGTGGAAATGTTATTTGATGCTGATACTGAATTGTGGCAGAAGACAGTGAGATTTGCAATTTAGAGATAATATTGCCAGATTACCACRTGGGTGGTGCTTAGATTTTTGAACTGGATGCATCATGGCAATCTGAACTTTGTTTTGGGGTTAGTTTATTATTTGCACATTATGCAGATTGTATGGGGAGCACATCAGTGGTTTTTAATTTATCTGTCATTTATGTCAGGTCTGTAACAATTTCACATAAAATAAGCCAATTGGGATTTGCTACATGTCAATTCAGTGTTATCTTAAGGGCAATTTTGTATAAAAATTCATTTTCCATCCAGAAAAAAAATAAAGAAAAAAAGAAGCAACATCCATAGATAAACTTCTTATAGAGCTTAAGGCATCGGATATTCAGCATGTTGAACAAGAAAATAAATATCCAAATGAATATAATTTAGTAGTTGTTTCAGTCTAGATGATTTAATCTATTAGATTCGTCTTCATTTTTCTTATGTGGTAGTAAGGTATTATTTTTCATTCTTTTCTCAAGATATAATGTTTCTGCTTATTTGAAAAATTGAATGTAACTGCATCTTTGAAAGAAAAAAAGGAATCCTTTATTTTCCTTTGAAAATCCTCTGAAAGAGGGAAGGAGGCCATTACAGAATGGTCTTTGTGTTTCTGTTAGACTGCTACTGTATTGAAAAAAAAAAAAAAAAAGAAAGCAAACAAACAAAAATAGTGTCACTGAGCTTCAGAACTTTGAGCTGATTTTCTACCGATCTGTCATGTGGTTGTTTGGATTAAATTTCTAACATTGGAGCTCTTTTTTTCTTTTTTTTTTTTTTTTTTTTTNCACACTGGAGGCACTTATAAAATGTTTCTTTCCATTTGGATCCTTGGATGTCTAAAGATACAAAGAGCTCATGTTGCAGCTTCCCTTGTTTTTAAACTCAAGACCTCTTTCTGATTCTTGACTGCCTGTTTTCACGAAATCTGCAGATATTGTCAGAATCCTGGCACAGCTTACTGTGACCACTAGCATTGCTTTTGATTTTTTCCTATTATTTTTTTTTAAGATATTAAAAATGTTAAAAGGACTTTGGTAATTAAGCCAGACTTGACCTTTATGGATGTCCAATTTTGTATTATCACTAAATGGATACGTCTTGTTTATTGACTTCACAATTTCACGATCCCTTTGAGACACAAGTGTAAGTGATCAGACTTTGCCAATTAATTGTGACACTGCATCATTACTTACTAGCTCTGCATCAAAAATCACAGTTTTTATGGATTACTTTTTCATAGATATTTTTAATAATGGAAAACATCTTTTTTTCTTTTTCTCTAAGATCATTTTAATGAAGAGCTGAATGTTATCATCAGAATTTTTTTATATTATCCATAATTGGGTGTTGGCCATCTATTCATCTTGCAAATTTTATGTTCTCTTACCTAACTTCTATTTGTTACTTTTCCTTTAAAAAGCAGGTTATGTAAGACCGTCTGTACATAACTGGCCAAGCATTTGCCAGTCATTGATTTTAGTATGGGCTGCATATGTGCATATGCAGCCATAACTCGGAGGCAGTAAAGGCTTCCTTTTCAAGACTAGTTTCACGAATGAACACAGACTAAAATGAACTTCATGTTTAACTTCATCTTTTTCCTAGTATTCTTCTGAAAATTATGTTTTTAATGGGAGAAATGGAATGAAATAAAAGGAATGAATTATCATGCTGTTCTAGCTCTAGCTGTTGAACTCTACATCATAGTTTTAAGGTTTTAATTATCACAGTGTATCATCTATCTGAATGCTTTCCACCAGAAAAWTTTAATACACTTAATACATTAAGAAATGTCTTTGACTAGTTCTGAATTCCTGGAAGGTCTTCTAAAAGTTCAGCTGTACATTAAAATATATATTTTTTCAAAGTCTGTGAAGTTAATGTAAGAAAAAAAAATAGTGTGTTGTCATCAATGTTCACGTGATTCTGAAGGTYGTTCAGCTGTGCTACACCATTTAATTTTTTAATGATGTAAGATATAGCAGAAAAAGCTGGGATAAATCTGTAAATTCTTAATCCTAAATATACAAAATTGCCTCTTCATTTACTATTAATTAGGTGGTTACAATCTTAACTTGTTGTGAACAGATTTGTTTGAACATGAGCCAGACCATTCCTCTGAGAAAATAATATAATGGAAAATAATTAGATATTCGATTTTAACATGAAAGTAAATAAAAGCTAAACCTAATGCAACAGATGTGGACCTTGCATTAAAATGGTATTGAATTATGTTTTGAAGTTTGGCCATTTTTTTTTGTGAAGTTATATATTATGCTGGCTTCATTCAAAAGTTGTTTTTCACAGATATGAGGTGTGCAGATGAATATTCAAAATATTAGGCTCATCATAAAATAGCTCATGCCAAATACATGAATTTGGACTGTCACCATTTTTTCTCCCTTCTTTTGGTTTTTGACCTAACTTTGAATTCTAGACTGTTCTTCTTGGAAAGGCTGATACATGAGTAAAATTATATGTAAAATGGATGCATCATATAAGATATAAATTTGTAAACATGAGATATATATATATATATACACATACTGCATCATGGAATTTGATGACAATTTGTAATAGTGCTTTCCTGCCTCATTTTCTCATTATGCTTTATARCATAACGTGTTCAGGTTTTGCTATCTTTGGGAAAAAAAAATAAGACTTTTTAAAGTAAATGTGCAGATATTCTTACTGAAACATTATTGAAATTTTTGCAATTGTACTAGAAAATAGCTGATGTAGTTTCGTGTAACTTCTTCCTCAACTATAGTAAAAAACTTTGCATGTTATTTAAAAAAGAAAAAAAAACTTGCATTAATATTGCATTTTATGTAATAAAGCTCAAAACTGCTCTGGACTGAGGACCTGTGGACAGTGTTTGGAACAACCTGGGTGTGGATGGTGTAACGATCCCAGCAATACTGGGAAAGGACAGTGTTTGGAAGGCTCATCGAGGGGGCCAGTGAAGCCTCTTGCCTTGCACTCCACTGAGATGGTGCTTGATGCTGCTCTTTGTCCCAAGGAGAAAAATTATGAGTGGTCTTTTATCCAATGTCCGGGTAAGATGCACTGCTTTTTTTTTTTTTTTTTTATCTTTATTTGAATAAGGTGTTTAAATTTGTAACATGGAATAGGAGTTACAGAGTATAGAATTAAAGTGTGTTTAGGCACTCAAATTTAACATAAGTATTTTGAGTAATTCATAGATGTTTGTCCAAATTATTTCTTAATTAGAAAGTTGATCTTTTGTTTCAGTATACATGTGCTTATTTTGGGGGCAGATTTATTTGTGAAATTTAATGCAAATAGTTCAATGAAAATCTGCTGCTTATTTGTAGGCAAGTTTTTATCAGTTTTTTACTTCTTCAAGTTCAGCTGTGCATGTTAGCTTCAGCTTTACGTTTCTTCTGGCATTAAATATCTTCCAGCATCTGTATCCATCAAAGGAAAGTGCAGTTGGAGAGAGATGGCTGTAGGTAACTGCTGATGTCCAGGCACAGGGATTCCTGCATCCAAGCTGGTGATGAAAAGGCATCCCAAAGGCTGCCAAATATGTCAGCTGTGCCACCAGTATTAGCTTTTAGACATTGCTGGTGAAAGTTGTGCTTTTGTAGTCTTAAAAAGAATCTCTCAAGACTAAATTTTAGCTGTATTGATCCCTTTATAGTATCTTAATGTTTTGGTTCATTAGGTAAGCAAGCAAGACATCAGGTGCTCTAATTTAGTGCAAAATGAACTGGTGTAGTCCCCTAGGATGGTGCTGCATGAAAACACTCCTGAAAGCAGTTTACTTGCAGCAGGGTGCAAGTGCAGCTAAGCGAAATACATATTGGAGAAGTTAAAAGACCTCCATATGTAATAACTGATACAGTTTTAAAGATGTCTTGATATTGATGCCACATTATGGTACAAGATTTGTTAACTTCTGAGCTTAATTTAAATGTTAAAGTACAAGTTCACCAGTACTAAGTGCATTGTTAGACCTGTTATAAATGTGTGTATAATCTGTCCCTGCTGAAGGTATAATGGATATAGATTCTGATTTCCTTAGTTATTTATGAGTTGGAAGACTTCATAACCTTATTTGATTATATCTTCATGTGTAAAATCCTGTATTTGTTATAAGTTCTGACCAAGATTGCAGCGAGGTTGCCCTTCAGTTTTGAAGACGGTTATTCCGTGAATTTATTAAAAGGCAAATCATTCTTAAGTCAGAAAGGTTAAAATTTCTGTTGACATGAAATTCCATTTTGATTGATGTAGACTGTAGGCTTTGATCCTAAGGTTTTGTTTTCACTTTATTAACAAAATACCATCTTTAAGGGATTATAGTAACACAGTTTATTAATCTTAACACAGCAACCTGAAAACATTCACTTAATGTACTTGAAATATAATGGAGTTGATCATAAATCTGTATTAACTTGCTGAACAGCTTGTAATTGGATAAAAGTAAAAATAAATAGGTTATGACATATACTTCAGAGGTTATTCTGTGTGATTGATGAATAATTGGATAAATCATTCATGTTCGTAGATGCAGGTTTTCCTTGTAGTTCTTATCTATGTTCTTTGTGGCTTTGCAGTACCTCTGGGCAATTGGCTTGATAAATACTGTTTTAAATTCTCTCTCATTTTCTGTCTGTTTTAATTTTAAAAACCATTATTAAACAGCATAAAGTGAGAAAGTCTGACAGGTTTTGAATGAAATGCCYTTTTTTTTTCCCCTCCATTTACAGCCAGGGAAAAAACAGGAATTATTTGCATGATATGAGCTGTACGCTCTGTCTTGAGCATGTAAAATATTATTAACAAACCTGAAAAGGAAATAATTTATATTAAAGAACTTTGTTTGCAGTTAAATATGATTATCTTGTGATTTGATTATTCAGAAATAACAAACCTGAAGTAGGTTTCTTAAAAAAAAAAAACCTAAAGTGAGTTTATGACAATTATAAGAAATCTACCTTGCCTTTTTTTTCCTTTTTTTACCCTTTTCTTCTTCCTTTTTTTTCCCTTTTAAATGCAGAATGAAGATTATTGCGATATATGGCAAAATTAAATGAGGAGATTCCTTTAGAGAAAAAAAAGAAAAAAACTCATTTCACAAAGCACAGTAATGAAGTGTATAATTTTATTTATTATAAAGCCCATTACAACTTCATATCATCTTAATTAAGACATCCCCAATGTGATTGCAGTCTTGTCTCTGTTATAGAAAATTGTTGAATTAYACAGTCTTTCTAGCTTTCCACATTTTTTTTTCAATAATGTGAAAACCAATTATGGTTTTTAGGAAAAACAGCTAAAATACAGTACTCTTTCAAAATGGAGTGCCATTATTAGGGTAAATTGTAGATTTCATTAATCCTTATTGTGTATGTAAGTTCTGACTTTGATTTAATATCCCGTCTATTTCCCTGGGCTTTAATGAAATATAAGACTTGAAGGCTGTCCTGTCTGATGAGATAATATTATACCTTGCAGCAAAATAAAATTTTCAAAAAAAAAAAACAAAAAAAACCCTCCTGATTGATTAAAGTTTCATTTATTGAAATAGCCAAAAAATGAAGAAATAAAAAAGTAAGTATCAGAAAGAATAAAAGGATTAAAAATTAATGGCCCGCTAGTTAGAAGAAAAAAAAAACAGATTGGGACATTTTATCTATATTAATATAGAGGCTTAATTAGGCAAATATTCATTCTTGCCTGGAGAATTAGAGTTTGCATTTAGCCTCTAAATTYACGTATAGTCTTCATGCTTCTTAAATATTCCTGGTCGTATCACAAGAGCATCTTTTAAGCATTCAGGAGTAGATTGTTGAAGTTATGCTGATGATGTGATTATCATTATCCATATGATATTTTTAGTAGTTTTGGGGATCTGCTCTGGGTAATACAGCTTTGACTATAAATCAGTAAATAAATTGTGCTATATATTTTAATTTGTAGGCCTTATGACTAGTTTATAATCTAAAGCTGTTGAAAAATTAGTAAGTTGCTTTAGGATATATGAAGAAACTTTGGCTAAATCTCTTCAGTTATTACACGAGTCAGAAGTAAAAACTTGATTTCCAGTAGTACTGAAAGTATGTATTAAATGTAGAAAATATTTAAAAGACGAAGCAGACAAAACCTCAAGGCCAGATACCTGGCATTTCAAACCAAGCATGTAATTATAACTAAAAGAACAAAGCCGTCCTTTCTAATAATCACCTATTCTTAAAAGAAAAAAAAAAAAAAAGCGAAACCTAAGCACTTATTAAGGCTTTGGGTGGCCTGAAAAGGTTAGGGCATTGTGCTTGACTGCTGAGGAAGCTCCTACACGTGTTTGATTACAAGACTTCATAGGCATAGCTAGAGAAGCAAGAGGATATTTTAAGCTTGTGAGGTTTAATGGTTTTCAGAGATGGGTTCAGTATTAAGTTACTAAAACTATTAAGTTACTGAAACCTTCTGAGTAATACAGTGAGAACTACTGTTTTTTTCTTAGCGAGGCAAGTGAATGACATTTATATTAAAAATCCAAATTACAAAAAAAACCCMAAAAATCTACTAAAGTAGCTGTCATCTGCTGAGTCTTAAACACACTTTACTAGTAAAATATTGACCGTTTTGACATAATCTGACATTTGCTGTTCCAACTGACATATTGCTAATCTGTTGAGCCCTCAGTGTCCAAGTCCCACTCTACGGAGAGGTCAGAACTACTTTCAAACCCCCATCTTTGGCTATTTTGACTGAGTCTTGGTAGAGAGATCAAATATTTTGACAGAGTCCATATGATTTTGCTGCAACAGTAACCAGTAACTTTCTGTGAGTTTGCTGAAAATACGGAGCAYGAGACGTGGTTTAAAAGAAGATCGAGGGTTCTACTATTGTTTCATTTGTCAAATAAAATTTCTTTGAATTTCATTGGCCAATTGTGAGTAGGGGCAGGAGGTATTTGAAGAGCTTCTGCTGTCTTTAAAACCTCTCTGGGCTCTTGGTTCTTTTTCTTGGTTYTGTGTATCCTCTCTCCCCTGCAAGATTGTCGATGGTTGATTTTTAGCCTTGCAGTAGTTGTGCCGCATCTCACAGCAGACTGAACGTAGGCTTGGGGATTTTTGTTTGGTCTTGGTGATTTACAGCCTGTTAAGGGTTTTCTGTAGTGATCAGGCAGCTTTTTATGTCTACAGGGACTCAATTTTATGTCTGCAAGGACYTTCTCAAGAGCCTTGAGCTACCAAGTCACTAGGCACTGCATACTCACTTTTGTGATCTTTCGTGAGTTCCTGTCTTGTCACGATGCTATTTTAACTATCTTCTGTCTCAAGTAATAACTATATATGCTGGTCATCAGTTAGGATTAAGCTCTTCRAAACTGCATTCTCCTACAGCTTTGTAATCACATGATTTTATTTGCAAAAGCAGGTTGGTAATGACTCTCTAAATGTTTTATTCTAGCGTGCCAGTGCAATGGCCACAGCACCTGCGTCAACAGCAACGTGTGTGATCAGTGCAAAAACCTAACGACAGGAAAGCAGTGTGAAACCTGCATGCCCGGCTACTACGGGGATCCCACGAATGGAGGGCAGTGCACAGGTAGGTCCTGCGTGTCAGAAAAGAAAGTGGAATGGCCCTTTCTGGAATGTGAATGTGCAAGGTGAAACCTCAGTGGTTAAACGTTGATTAGCTGCTAAAGGTGCTCAGCTAAACTACTGATTGCAAATCCAGATTGATTTTTTTTTTTTTCTTTTGAGAACCTTTGCATTAATGATTATGATTTGGCATTTCTCATTTGATCTGTATACACAAAGGCCGTGAATCTTGATTTAAATCAAATGTGCGGTCCCAGGTAGGCAAAAGAGGCGTTGTGGGAGCAGCCCACGATCAATCATGATACTTGAGAGGTATTATTTCACTCTGTATAAACCCTCCTTGCAGGAGCAGTAAGAATGTTATTGTATTTATAAATGAAACTTGGTAAGTAGAATAATGCCTGTCACCTKCAGCAATGCCCTTTTAAGAGCTAAGTGGTAGTTTTCTTCCTATTCCTCTGTTTCTTTGCCTTCCTTTGCTAAGAATACAAACCCTAACAATGTTCTCCCTCAGAAAAGTTGTATTCATTTGGAAAATATTTTGCACGTACGATATTGATGAATAAAACAGGTTTTACTTGTAAAATATCAGTTCCACTAACCTGTTTGCTGCTCTGTTGGCAATCTGCTGCCTTGAAACTGTCTCCTGACATTGTTACTCAGAAAAGAAATTGAAAGATCTTTTCTCTTGACTTTTTTTTAATCTTGTCAATGTTTAACAATATTAGTTTCTTCTTACTGTATACTAAGTGCATATATACTTTCTTTATTGTGTACACTTATTACATATACTATTTGTCGCTGTATATTTCTTTGAAGATTTAGGTATTTCTGGTAATCTGTATTGTTATTAAGCTGCTATGGAAGGTGGTCTAGATTATCACGTTGATGGAGATAGGCATCTTTCCAGCATTAGTGAGACTTGTCATAAGCAGTAGAAAACCTGAGGCAGGCTGTGACTCACCAAGAACCTGTCATGAAAGACTTAATAGCAGTAGAAATAATATTATAATTTCAGGTAGAGAAAAAAATATCTTTCTGTCATTAGAACTGTTTTCATTGCAATATTAAGAGGCTGAATATTCTTCTCTTTTATAGTGCATCAGAATCATTTTTGCCATTTTCTTATATACCTGATGTCATCAGTGAAAGCAACAGAAGTAGTAGCTTTTATTCTGAATTGCAGAGCTAGGTGATTTCATCATAGTGAATTTATGTGTTATGATGCAGTACGAAGGAGTATAACTTATTCTGATATATAGCTGTAACTTGCTAATGGTTTCCCTATATGCTTATCTATCTGCTGAGCTTTCATCTAAATTTTTGTGTGTGATATGCCAATTACTGTTTGGAAAGAAGTGATTTTGTATAAATATATGATCAATAAGTCTTACTCATGCATAGCTTGAGCAAAAGAGCCCTCCACTCTGAGGAATGTGAATTACTGTATTCTACCTGTATAGTTTTGTAATTGCTGCATTCATAGATTCTCCTTGATAAGAAAGTGAGAATGAAATCTAATACTCCACAGGGTATTTGTAGTCCTAGTGCCGTAGGGCTGCTTTCTTGCTTGCAGGCCTGATTTTAAAGTCAATGGTAACTTCTCCCATGTGCCTAAATAGGGAGGTATTTTCAATATGAAAACCCATCAAGGTAGCAGAGATTGAATTTAGCAGCTAGTGAGCAGAGTTTCTCCTGTGAATATTTCTATTCTAATATTGATGTTTCTTTAAGCGGACCTTTGGTTCTTAATGAATATTTATTCATTTAAGGGATTCACTTCTTCCTCAGCAGTTGAATGTGCAGTAGTCATTCCATGAAGCTGTGCATCTGGTAAGCTCAAGCACAGTGCGGTGGAAGTGTGTTCAAGGGGATGAAAAGATTAATGTCTACCCCTATTGACAGTTGCACATTTTGCTGGTGCTTTATGAAGCTTTAAATATTTCTTAATAGATCTCTTATTTCCTGAAGTTGACAAAATGTTCCTTTGCTGTCTATAGCACCTTTCGGTAAAGTGATGTATTAATATAGTTTTATTCTTCAGGGGTGCATCAGCTATCTAACCAAATAAGCATTCCATCACCTATAGTGAATTATGTGTAATGCAATAATGGCTAAAATCAATTTATAAGGCCAGAAAAATTACACATTTTATGACCTATTTTTTTCAACCCTAGTTACATATTACTTTAAGAGTTCATATTTTTCTGGTAGACATGATTTTCATGGCAGTTAGACTAAAGAATGCTTTAAAAATTTAAGATGATGCTAATAACTGCGAGGTTTTATCTGCATTTATGTATTATATTACATTATATAAAACCAATAAAAAAGTTTAAGCTGTTAAGCTATTTTGATTAATCTAGCCTGTTCTAGCTACTGTTAGATCTTCTTCAGTATCTTTTTTTTTTTTTTTTTTTTTTTTTTTAATTTGTTATCCTATGGTATTGGTGTCCAGATTTTGGTCCAGGGATTTCAGTGCTCCATAGAGAATGGGCAGATGACTTTGGATTTAAGTGGATTTTGGAACCACAGTTGAAATCAGGACCCTTGTTTGTCAGGCAAATCTGAAGAAAAAAATGTTTGTCCAGAAGAGTTTGCCAAGTAGTAAAGGAAGATGAGCTCAGAAATGGATAGTCTAAGTGGTTACGTATGTGTTTTTATTTTTTGTGAGCATGACAGTTTCTTGTAAATAAGGTTTTCCATTTTCCTATTTTTTTTTCTTTTCTATCTCTTAACGTTTTTGTTAATACTGAGGAAAAAAATAGGAAATTGCTACAAGTTAAAACAGAAATTAAAGTCAACACATAAAAAGATAATATTGCAGGCAAGGTTGGCCCAGTCAGAAGTTGATTTTAAGTGCAGCTGAAATAGTTGGAAGTTAAAAAAGGAAACAATGTGGGACAGTACAAACAAGGAAAAAACATGAAGAACTGAAAAAACTCATCTTCATAGTCCTTGCTTTTGTCTCTCTGCTGCTGCGAGCTGAATTTCTGGCTGGATCATTTAATTTCTTTGTCTCGGACTCATCCTTCTCTAGGAGGATGGGGGCCACCTAAACATCTTGTAAAGTTCTCTTCAGAAATGAATTCTGAGCTTGAATGAGTTCAGCACGTTAGCAGGCCGTAAACTGCAAGTGCGAGTCCAAATCTTAGAATCATAGAATGAGTAAGGTTGCAAGGGACCTCTAGAACGTGAGGAGCTTCTAGTCCAACCCTCCTGCTCCAGCAGGGACACCTAGAGCGTGTGGCACAGGGGCCTCATGCCCATGTGATGTGTGGCACACATCACATATTGATGGATTCTGGAAGTGGAAGAGCTGAAGACTGGAACAGACACTGACCTGGTTGCTGTTTTCTCTTAGTTCTATATTTTCTTCAAGGTCATCTTCTCTCATGTACTGCCTATCTGGGCAATGTGTAACTTCATATAAATTCTAAAACAAATAGGATGAGACATGTACTACAGGCTGGAGGATAGAATAGCAGGAGAAAACAGTAGGAAAGATCACTTGGAACATTTTTATGCTGTCCTAGCAAAATTTGTTAACATTATTTTCAAACTCATTAATCATCTACTTAGTTGTCAGTGTTAAAAAAAAAAAAAACTACTCTAGCTGCTTATCATCTTGTCATATTCTTTGAGAGAGATTTTTAAAAGTATTCTTTAAATGTATGAGATGGTAGGAGAGAATTCTTTACAGTAACATATGACACATGCTGTGAATGCATAATACATTCAATAATAAGATAACGTAAGCTCTTTTCTGCATTGCCTTCTTTCCCCTAAACTGATAACATCCTAAACAATGTTCGGTTTTCACATAATTGTGCTACCAGTGCTCTTGCTTTTGCAATAGGAGTAAAACTCTTGAGTATTAGCACAGCAGGAACATTGTTTTAACACTCATTGCTCTCTGAGCAGCCTAAAAAGGCACGAAGCTTAAACACCGATGACTGTTTTTAAAAGCCCTCCTAGCTGGGAGGTATACAACAAGTCTCTATCATAATTATTGCCATTATAAATCTGTCTCTGCTATCATACAGTTGGATATTTTCAACACCAACAGCTTTCCCCATATATATTAGAGTCTATAATCAGTCTGTTTAAAAATGTTAATTGCTTATGCGAAACATTAAAAAAAAAAATACTGACCAGATAATCTAATCTGGATATTGTTTGTTTTCACTGGATATAACTGAATCTTCAAACTACTAACAAAACCAAAGATGCTTCTAGTGAATATGCCCAGGGTGTGTGCATCAGGTCAGTCCGCAGCATCTGCTGGAGCGAGGTGAGAGGTCTTTGATGCTCCTTCAGGACCTGTGAGTGCCAGGGAAATAAATCTGACTTGTTCAAGTTCTTCTGAAGCACCTGACTCTGCAGAAGCAGCTTGCTCAGTGTTTGTTTCTTTCAAATGTTTTGTAACGCAAATGTTTTCACATGTGTTTGTATGTGTGCATATAGTCCCACAATCATTTCAAAATAATTCGTAGTTGATTTATTAGAATACAGGCAAAATACACTTGAAGGTTATGTGTAGAAAACAAAATCTACCTTTCACTACTGAATCATTTAATTGTGATTGCCCTTCTTTCTCATTTCCAACTTGTTGTAGTCTCCAAAGCTGTAAAACAGGCCATGTAATTCATGCTAGACCTTAGGAAAATCCCGTTTTGTTTCTCACTAGTTTGTTTTATTTCTGCTCCTTGTGATAGACAGATCTCTTGGCTCCTCTCTGGGGAGCTTCCTCATTTCCGCTCTTACTCCAGGTTTCCTACTTGCTGTCAGCTTTTCCTGCAGTCCTGATGGCTGCTCCCCAAAGGTTTTGCAAAACTGTTCGGAGTAACTCCTAGTATCCAGAGCAATGTGAGCAGGCAGGCTTTTCTCCTTACTGCTGAACTCTAATAATAATAAATATATTTTCTAATATGTACAAATAACCTTGTATATTAAATTTTAATACAACTAATTGTATAATTTCATACATAATGGAAAGCAAAT